AATATCCTTCAGAAAACATATATACCTAAATATCTCTACAAGAAAAATAGGGCAATATGGAGTTAATTATCTACATATCAATACCTTGCAAGCTGTTCATTTATTCAATTCTTAAAATTTAAATTTAAAATCGACGACTATATAACATAATATTTTATAGATCACAAATAATTTCTCCTTTCATGATAATTTAAAATATTATATTTATTCCTTGGCACAATAAATATAAATATGCCAGTGTTATAAGAGTGTAGTTTGCATGAAATATGCTGAAAAAATCTTTTGTGGATATATTATTCATATTTAATGATATTTTCATAGAATCTCATAATACGGTATGTAATACATTTAGTATAATACTGGCCCTTGTAGTACATTATCTTTGCACCAATATGTCATGTATTGATACACAGACTAGCTTATAAAAGGAGTTGTAAAAAGAAAGAAAGAAAGAGGAAGTTAAGCGCGTATACTCGGTCGGTTGCGAGCTATACAATATAATGAGCTATATAATATAATCCGATTGCAAATATAGCGAGAACAATAATTGAAGATAGACGATTGATATGTAGAATGGACTCTGCCTTTGGTATGTTTTTGGTGCCCACAATATCTTTTCTAGAAATTTCCAGCAAAGCTTTATCTAGCTTATCAGTTGTCGCATTTGTAGAATTTTTCTGACGCCATGTATTAAGAAATTTCAATGCCCGATTGAAATCATTTTTTTCCTCTTCTATGATTGCATTAACCGGAATTTCTGGGTCGAGTACTCTCGCTAATGTTGTCCAATCTGCACCGATCTCGCTCGCAATATGACGAATGTAATTGTTTAGGCCTTGAAAGTGAGCAAACGCATGATAAAATCGTCAATATACCGATACTTGTCTTTGTTTGCAAATTTAATTAACAGTACTAGAAACAAAATGTTATTTTACAACGCACGGACTACATTATTTAGCATTATCCAAGATCACAGAGAAAATTAAAATGTTTACTAATACTATTATAACCGCAATAAAGCGGAAAAAATATTGGTATGTGTAAGCTTTAATTATTTAACTCGTATTATTTCAAAGTCGAAAAAATCGTCTACAAGGTAACTCTACTGTAGTTAAAATGAAAGTCTTTACCTCAAGCATAATATTTAACAAAAGCTTACTAATTCCTATTTNGTAGCGTTTTTAAGATCAAAATTA